CTTCTTCTTCTTCTTCTTCATCTTGTTGTATTCAGCTGACTCCATCAGGACTCGAACTCATGACCTGCTTGTTAACAGTTACATGTGTAGTGTTGTATCCTTGAGTCACGTGGCACAGTAGCCAATAACACGGACAGCCGGGTTGTCCCGCCCCACCGGAGCTCGGAGCCTCGTCCCTGTATACGCGGTCTTCACACCCATCCCTCAACACCAGCACCGGCCCTGACAAGAGGGGAAATGCTCAAGGCACCTGCGGGAACTCTTGCTACAGAGTATTCCAAGTGAACATAGATATCGAATTCAAATATATCATTGAGCGGAATTTGGTCCTTTGTGGTTTCTGTCCTTTGCGCAAGGAATTTATCCCAAAAAAAAAGAAAAAAAAAGGCCTCGAGTTACGTATGATGTAACTTGTGCTTGTTGTTTTGTTTGTCGTGTTGTTGGATGCGCGACTGCAGGACAATGCGAAGAAGTACATTGAAGCGGGAAACACGGCGCACGCGCAGGCTCTTGGGCCAAAGGGCTCGGCTTGTCACAAGGCAGCTGTCATCGGAGACACGGTTGGAGACCCTCTCAAGGACACATCTGGGCCGTCGCTGAACATTTTGATAAAGCTGATGGCTGTCGAGTCGCTTGTTTTTGCGCCGTTCTTCAAGAAGCATGGAGGGGTCATCTTTGGAAGAAAGAGTTGAGTTCTTCTGGTCTTGTCGTGCTCTCACATATGAGATCATTTGCTCGTCTGGGTAAATTATGCCCACTGGGTGGGTGGGTGGGGGCCTCATTAGATGCAATTTTGCGTGGAAGAATATATGTATGTTGCGAGGTCTAGATGGGTTACGTACGGTGAATGAGGAGGTCTTGCCCAATGTGAGGGCACAAAATCAGATGACAGCAGTTCATCGAGTGATGCTAGTGTTAAACATCGAGAGTTGCAGTGTACAAAAGATGGGTTTGGTTGTTTTTTTTTGTTTTTTTTTTCCTTTCTTTTTCTTTTTCCTTTGAGGGGGACGGGAGGAAAATTATGTCGTCCAATCGTCATTTTCATTAGAGCACGGGCGTCATTTTCGACAATGTCGATGCTTAGAGTGGTGATGGGTGTCCCTTGTCTAGATGTAGATGGTTTTGTTCGTGTAGAATATGGCAACCTGTTTTGTCAGGGTTGTTGTCTCTCTATAAAAGCTCTGCTTTGCCCTTGCTGCTTTGCCCTCGCTGCTTTGCCCTCGCTGCTTTGCCCTCGCTGCTTTGCCGTCTCTGATTTGTATTCACTCTGTCGAGTGAAACACAGATGTCTGAGTTTATTTTGCTCTCTTTCAAACCAAAAAAGCTTCTGTACTCTGCGTTGTCATTGGTTTGTTGCAGTGAGATATGGTCTGGTCTGATCATTTTCCTTCTTTTTTCTTCTTTTTTTTTCTTTTTTCTTTTTTTTTCTTCTTTTTTTTCTTGAACCACCACTACCTGCGAGCCTCATTTTCTCGAGGCCTTTTTTGTTTTGTTTTGTCTGGCTTGCCAACCTTTTTGGTCTGGTGGCACCTGGCCTCTGGCGAAGGCCTCCAAAGAATGCAGTATGGGTTATATTTAACCCTTATCTCTCCAGCCTGAAAGGTACCAGTACCCCAGGGGGTCTTAGGCCTGCTGTGGGGAGGCTCTGAGGCAAAAGCATATGGAGCTGTGCGGCGCACCGATTCGGCCACTAACAACATGGAGGTACTGGTGGTCTACCCTTTCCCCCCCCCCCCCCTAGAAAGCCCATGGTGTTGTAGAGGCCAAGATTGCTGGTAGCGGCAGCCAATGGTTGTCCTGACAGGATAGGCCACCTACCCTACCCATCCCCACGTTAATACTCCCATCGCACCCCCTGTCCCTAACTGGTGGTCTAACCTAACCTGAGCCTACTAGGGGGAAGGGGGTGATGCGAGAATCCCCCCTTGGTATGCCCACCGTTGGTCGCCCCAGTCTGTGGTCTGGTCTTGTCTGGTTGGTCCCGGTATGAACTTTTGGGCGATCGCAGGTCATAAATCGGGAACCATGTTAATGATGTACGCTTTTACACACTGAGATGGCGGTGTGCAATTGGAGACTAATGAGTGGCACATGTTTCTTTTTCCTGTTTTTTAAAGTCGAACGCCCTTTTTTTTAGTGGGGAATGGGGGGCAGCGTCCCCTTGGGAAAAATAAATACAGATCAATTGGAATACCAGGGGGCCATTACCCAGCTTCGGCTGAGAACTAGTGGTAATTTGAAGAGTACATGTTCTGTAGCAGGGCTAATGGTATATGGTGGTATGCATACAATGAAGAATGCATGCTTGTGATGAGCAACCACCCCCGCTTCAATCCTTGCCCCCCTGCCTGCAGGGCATCTGTACACTCCCGGGTAAGGGACAAAGAAGAAGAGGAAAAAGGGAAAAAAAAATCATCACTTCACATGGATGATGTTAAGATACTATGTCAAACCACCAGTACACTAGGGCCTGGAGGCGCTGCATTGCGCATCGAGCTTTTACGAATCGCCAGCGGCGCAGTTTTTTTCACTTTTTTGGCTGGCGCTGCCAGCCATTGTGGGCTGGTAGGCCCGAGAGGTGAAATTTTCGGAGTGGGTGACAATCAAATCTCCACAACGCTCTGGGGCCGTGTAAGCAAGTTACAGTGGTAATTTGGGTGGTAATTTAGGTGGTAGTTTAAGCGATAGTTTAGGTGATAAACAGTCGCTACAGACTTTTAGACAGTTCGTCTCATGCAACAACATGAAACACAAGAAAAATGATGATTGATTGAAAGAGTGGGTCTGAAATGAGAGAGACGGGGGGTGACCGAGCTTTTGATCGGACGACGAGAGAAGCCTCGAGGACCCTTGTCACGTGAACATCACAACTATGGACTTGTATGGTGATGTTTTTTTTTTTTTTAAGACTTGACAAGGATACATGATGACTGCTTTTTCTTTGACTGAATGGATGGATGTTTCTGAGGTTTTGTTTGTTTGTTTGTTTTAGGCTTGATATCCAAACTGTCTACTTCTCCCGCACACCTCTTTTTTGAGACAAATTTAAGACGACCTTCCTCTGCCAGCATTGATTGCCCCGGAAATCAGGGGATTAACCGAGCAGGGATGGCCTTTGATGTTAGGTCAAAATTAGAAAATATGAAAACATGCAGCCCTTGAAATAGTCAACCCAAAAGATCCTGCCTCCATCAACGAAAGGAAAAAACTCAAGTTGTTCCAGGTGGAGTTAGTAGCAAGTGGCCGTTACCCACCAAGATACTTGGCGCCAATCGCATCCACCCCGAATCCCTCCATCCAAGTCCCATCCATCCTTCCTAACTCCTCATCGTAAGGAGTTTCAGAGGACCGCTTCTCAGCAGGGGGTGAGCACCATCATCACCCCGAAGTTCCTTGCCACCACAAGAACTCCAGTCCTCGTCCTCAAAGGGGTAAACAAGCGCTATCCAACGCCAATCGTGCCAGAGCTCGCCCTTGTCAGCGGGAACCCATTGGACAGTCTAAACTACCCAATGCCAATCGCATCTGATACGAGCTCCCCCTAGCTGGTAGCCGTCAAGCAACCCTATTCCATCCCCCTCTCCGTCCTTCCAAAGAATCGTTCCCCTACTTCAAAACAATTCCCCCAAAACCCTACAAGATATTTCACTTGACTATCTTTGACAAGAATAGGTCAAAATCAGGGAAACAGGCAGCCTCAAAAACAGACAACTCGAAAAATCCTGGCTCCATCATCGAAAGGAAGAACCTCATTCGTTCTCCCAAACTTCGTCCTCGTAAAGAGTACAGAGAACCTCATCTCAGCAAAGGGCGGGCACCATCGTCATCCTGAAATTCCTTGCCCCCACAAGAATTTCAGTCTCCGTCCTCGAGGGGATAAAACAACACTACCCAACGCCAATCGCGCCAAGGCTCACCCTCATCAGCCGGTACCCATTGGAAAGCCTAAACTACCCAACGCCAATCGCATCTGATAAGAGCTCCCCCTGACCGGTACCCATTAGAAAGCCCTATTCCATCCCCTCTCCATCCTTGCAAAGAATCATTTGATGCCCTTTGCCCCCTCCTTCAAAACAAAATCCCCCAAGACTCTACAGGATGCTCCACTTGACCATCCCATGGGGCCCCTGTTCAAATTTCCGACAAAACTCTGACGAAAAGTAGGTTAAATTCTGATCAAAATTAAAAAAACAAAAGTATCTCGCCACAAAGACCCTAGAAAATCAACGAGGAGTTGAAACCAACTTAGGAAATTCATTGGTCTAGAAGATTGAAAAATGAATCAACAATGATAGTAGTAAAAGGACTTCAGATTACGGATGCGTGAAGATCCCGGCGAATTTCGGATTGGAATTTCAGAAGCTATGTTTAGTAAGAAAACATTCAGAATTGTGAATCTATCAGAATCGGTCTGATTCGCGACTTTCAAATTGGCAAACGCATTAGACTCTTGGGGTTTTAATATTGCAAAGATTTATTTCAGAATTATTACAGGACGTAGAGAGAAAAAAATACCTATGTATGAGGAATTACAACTTCAAATCTCCATCAGAACCTTCACAACTGACAGTAAGACGTGAGAAAACACTCAAGAACAATCAAGAATCCTAAATCGAGATCATCAATGAGAAATCAAATTAGGAGATCAAGGGATTTTAGACAGTTATTAGCTAGGAGATCAAGGGATTTTGGACAGTTATTAGCAATCATTAGAGCATGGGCTAACCAATCGCCACCTGAGCAGATGAGCGAGTAACCTCCATCTCCCCTTCCTCGACAGCACCTACTTACCTCCTTCCCCTCAAACCCTACCCCAGCGTCTTCGGGGAAGGAAGAACCCTTCCTCCCACTGCTAGCTACTAAGGCTCTGGCACTGCTAACACCGAAAACCATCGACGGCCATCTTCGATCCCTGAAAAGAATCAAAAACGGTGTGGCACCTCCTCACCAAACCTGTTGAAGAGTTACCACGGGGGGTTCGAAACCTCCAAAAAAAACATGCTAAATCGTACTTACCCTGCTGCCGAAGAAGGGCGGAGACTCTTCCTACCACTGCTGATCGTTCCTCGTATCGTGATCATCGATGTTGCCTGATTGGTCATACCCTGCTGATGAAAATACGCATGGCCCCACAGAAGTCACCCAACAATAGCAGACTCCACTGTCCATTCACCACGCTTCTCCCCGCTGCACTACCTTGGAATATCCTGCGTCCCGACCCCGATTACGAGACAGAAGTGCCGTCGACCCAAGGTTTACTCCTCGCGTTGTCCGCATCATCAGCTCTTGCCTTGCACCGCTGCGTTTGTTGCTCCCGCAGGCTGAAATCCGAGTACGGGCGGTGCAACGCTCCCGGTCGCGCTGCACCGCCTGGCGACAGCCTTGAGATGTAATCTTGGAACTGACTGGGATTTCATAATGATTTTATTATGTTTGTCTGGTTGCATCGGGATCCAAAGTCCATTCCGTTTTTCAACGGTCCATGGGTGGACCAACTGAGCTAGGCCCGTTGGTACGTTTCTAGGTTTTTAAACCACTGTATGATTATGAATGGATGTTTTGTTATAAGTTTTCAAATTACCATAGGTTACAGATTGGTTGTCTTTCCAAGTTTTGTCGAGTTTTTTTAGTTTTCAACCCCACCTTTTGATAACATGCGCTGAAGGTAGCGTGCGGAGCCCTCTACTGTATGTAACCAGGGTCATCCATTCATCAGATGGAAGCTGCAATCAGGTGCCAGCCCTGGCCCTGCTCCGCCGTGATGGGACCTGTATCAAGGTAAGTCCGTTGGCAGTTTGGTCGTCCGCCTGGTTAGCAGCATAGATGCTGGCACCCTTCAACTTCGTTCCTGTGGCTGAGGGTGCCTGTTGGAGGCCGTGCGTACACGGTGGGGCCTGATGCCCTAAAGCATGTTATTCAGTAACTACTGTGAAGTCCCCTATGGAACCCACGGGAAGATGGCCAGCGGAGTGACTGGGTTAGGTAGTGGTGGTGGGTTCATGTGCTGTTTGAGCGGAGTGTGTGTTGATTGCCGTGTCCGAGGTGTGGTGTTGTGAGTGTTGTGTGAGTTCAAGGACACTACAGCCCTGGGGGTGGGCGGACCGATATGGACCCGGTTTTATTAATGCCTCCCAAGGTTTGAAGCGGTTACAAAACTTTGTTCCTTTGGCTGAGGGTGCGGGTTCGAGACCCCACCGTGTGGTGTGAGTTCAAGGACGCTACAGCCCTGGGGGTGGGCTGGATATCATGA